GCTGAACCTGAACAAGTGGACAGGATCAAGAAGGTCTTTGTATGACATGTTAAGGAGCTGGATTTTATCCTGAAAGTAGTAGGGAGCCATCGAAGGATTTAAAGCATGGAGGATGGTATAATCAAATTGGTTGTTTCGAAAGCTCATTCTAGGATCTCTGAAAAGCCAGGAAAAAAGCAGTACTGGAAGAAATAAGCCCAGGAGGGTATGTTGCAGTAATCCAAGCCAAACATGAGAAACTAGGATTAGGTGACTAAATTGGGGGGAAAGAATAGTAGAGATCTAGGTTTCTAATTTGAACATCTCAGGGTGTACGAATATAAGAAGAACGTCAATTTGAGCACGTGAACTTGGCAGTGTCTGTGCAGCAGCCAGTTGCAGATATCTTTCAGGCATCTGTGGGACTCAGGAGAGATTTGCTGAAAACTCAGACTTGCAAGGTAGTTTCGATGAAAATTTATGGATCCAAGTGTGTTTCAAAAAAACTGCTGTTTACAAGATTTGCTGAAAACTAATGATTGTCAAATCATTTTGACGAAAACTCAAGATCTGGGTCCAGGGTATTGGTTTGGAAGTCATTAACATAAACATGCTGGTTGAATCTCTGGGAGTAGAGGCAGTGGAGGATAACAGGACAGAGGCTGGAGGCGTTGGGGATGCCAGTGTTTAAAGAGGGAACTGAGGAGGCGGAGCTTGGGAAGTTGATTGCTGTGCAACAGCCCCTGGTCTCTGCCCACAGCCATCTCCGTTCTCCCTTCTCCAGTCTGTAATGCACCTTTTACCTGCCTACTGGAGAGACCTTCCTAAAACAGAAATCTAGTCGTGTGACTTACCAGCTCAGAACTCTCAGTCAGCTCTACGTTTGTCTATCAAGTCTAGATCTCATCAGTTTTTGTCTAGGTCCCACCCCTCAAAGACTGAAGGGAAGTGCTCACCTACTTTTCCTCATCTTCCAAAGCGCCCTCCTCGTTATGCTGCCTTGCAGATACATCCCTCAAACTTCTGCTCACTCTGGTTTCTTGAACTGTATAGTTTTTTGTGCTTCTCCAATTATCAGAATTTCAATTTATCCCTTAAGATCTAGCTAAATGCCCCATCCTCTGTGAGTCCTTCTCAGAAGCTTCCAGTTACAGTTCAAGGCTTCTCTTCCTTTACTTCCACACACTTCCCTTTACCTTGATCATAACGCGCACCTCCTTCTGCCTTGTTGGTTGTATCCCCACTTCTCCCTATTAGATTACGAGCTCTTAGAGCCTCCTCAGCTTTGTATCCCCAGAGCGTCCAGCACAGTGCCTTACTTGCAGAGTGGTGCTCTGTGTTTGCTGGTGCTCCATCAGTATTGGCCAGTGTTGTTTTTAATTGGCACAGTTAGTGTCCAAATCTACAAATCGTGAATCGAGATGAAAGCCTTCACTTTTTGTTTTAATATACTTCTAGAAACTGTATCTTAATGCAGAGGAATATTTTGTCCTTGAAGAAAAGCATTATAATTGGAAGATTTAGCATCAAATACAACTCACATAATTCATAATAAATTCTAAAATCAAAGAATCAACACCAAACTTATATGAATATTTAAAATTGTAAAATTGTGCTCCTGGAAACAGAATTTTCGCAATAGAGGAATCCTGAGCTTGTCTACTCCAGTGGTTTGTAAACTCTCCTCTGTAGAGCCCTATTCCTCAGGTCTCTGGAGAGCAGGCCACCAAACCTAGCTTCACTAGAGTGATTCTCCTTTCAAATGTTTATATGTGAGGCTTTCAAACAAAATGGTATTGAAAAATAGTTTTGCTGTTAAATCAGTTAGAAAAACAGAATTATAACCTGCAGGCTACTTCTGTAACCCCGGTGACTCTGGGCCTCCATTTCCTCATCTGTAAAATACAAGAATGGTGCTGTGATAGTTAATGCTTTTATTCTGAGCCCCTCCTGTTCATTTGCAAGTAAAAAACGAACCCCAAGAGAAGTTAAGTGGCTTAGGCCACATAAAGATTTAATGACAGAACTAAGACTAGAATTTAACCACCAACCCTGGTTGTTGGGGGGCTTTTTCTCTCTTTTTTAACAATTCCTACAAAGTGGGTATAAACAAATTATAGATATTAATTTATATGGAAAAGGTAGATATCAGGAGGTTTATCAACAGCACTTAAAAATAGAGCTACACTATGTCATAAATTTGCCTTATTTAAAGCTGATGTGCTAGCTACAACAAACATTGATTGAACGTTTACCTAATGTTATATTCGTTATTCAAGTTTATAGAAATATTTGAGTGAGTTGTTTGCATGGCCCATTTCTCTCTTACAAAGCTATTTATGAGTTGTTTTCTTCTTGGTAAATCTCCATGTAATCAGTGGAGGCACTTAAAATCATTTCATTAATCGCTCCTTTCATGTTTAAGTCTCACCGCATCTAAATTTAAAAGCATCACTAAGAAGTTGTTAGGGTTTGGGAAGGGAAGTCTCTAGATTCTGGTCCTTTCATTCGTCTCCTCTGCTTTGCTCATCTTCCTCTCTTCATCCCTCCTCTCCAAGTCAAGGGCATCCATGAAGAGGAAACGAGGTCACAAAACAGCTGTCTGAGAGGTGTGTGTGGACAGGAGGGAAAGAAGGGCAGTCATGCTCCTTGGCTTTGTTGATGATGGGGGTGCTTATGGGCTGATGGTATTATAGCCTTGGGGGCTTGTTTGTTTAAAGATAAAATAAAACAAAACAGCTCACAGAGACACCTCCTTCTTCCCCCTCCTTCTGCCTCCATGAGTAACTACCCATATGGCGTGCTGCTGCTGAGACCAAGGAATGAGTGAGTAAAGGTGTTTAGAAGTGAAGTGTTGGTCCTAATTAAATAAGTGTCCTTTTACAAATAAGTGTTAAAACTTTGTAATGTGGATACCCTGCTAATTTGGAATTCATAGGATTTGAACACAGGTTAAGCTACCTTTGCATCGTGAGAAAGGACTTGGATGCCAGTTACAGTAGTGCAATAATACAGAAGATAAGATGGCAGGGTCAGTTTAACCTCCTTAAAGACAAACTTTGTGAGGACATCACAGCATCTGTTTCACACGAACAGAATATTAAAAGTAGGTTTGGTAAGACCTACCTGTGGCAATATGTTGTTACTCATTTGTTAGGATCACTACAAATAATTAAAAGTAACATTGACTTAACGGTGATGTATAATTCAGTCTGACATCTCCCCCCTCAACCTCTGGAGTATGTTCAAATTCTGATTAGAACCATTATGTTGAGTTTTTTTAATAATCCAATAGTTTTACAAAGTTTCATATATGTACAGTCATGCGCCACATAATGACATTTCGGTCAACGACAGACCACATAAACGACGGTACTCCTATAGGATTGGTACCATATAGCCTAGGTGTGTAGTAGGCTATGGCATCTAGGTTTGTGTGAGTACAAACTGATGTGCGCACAACGATGGAATTGCCTGACGACACATTTCTCAGAACGTATCTCATCGCTAAGTGACGCGTGACGCGTGAGTGTACATATATTTGTGGTCAGATGCTGGTCTTGCCATAGGCAAAGAAATAGAACTAATACTTAGACCATGTAAAGAATAAAGCATCTTACCTTTAATTTGGTTGCTGTGTTTGGAATTTATTTCATATGTCTAGAAAAAAGTGAAGAAATTCGGTTATTATTGATGCTTTCTGAGTTAGGTTTTGATGGTTTTCTTTCTTCTTGCTTTGTTGGGTTGAAGGCAGGCAGACTGTTCTGCAATCTGAATTAGTCCTTGAATTTGAATTTTCCATGTGTTTGTACTTTTTCCCCCAAACACATTTTAACTGAGTCAGATCTTCACTGGTAGAGAAAAATCAAGGTGTTATTCGTTCTTTTGTTGTTCTATGAAACTGGCTCACTTACTACTGCATCCACCTTTCACCACCAAGTCTTCTTGTTCTTTAATTCTTATTTTTATTACATGCTTGAGTTAAAGCTATAAAGCCAGCAATAATGTCACATAACTATAGTCCAGAGAAGCACAATATCCTCTTGAAATCTTTATGATAAGAAAAGTAATACTTGTTTAAAGACATTCGGTGCCAAATCTTACTGAAGAATGATCTTGCAGAAGTCTGATTGTGAGGGAGGAAATCTAAAAAGGCAAAACCAGAGATAAGACTGAGAAAGCAGTAGTTACTCAAACGAGTTGAGACTGAAAGAGAAGCTGCATCTTTTTCTTTCACTTCATTTTGGTTTTTTGTTTTCTGGGGGTGTTTTATTTAAATAAATTGGGTAGATATGGTATATTTCTTTCATGTATATTTAATTCAGAACTTTAACATAGTAACGATCTATATTTTCTGTGAGAATTTTAAATGGATCCTTTCCATAACATGTAATTATCTCTAAAAAACATTTGCGGTCTGTTTTATAGCAACAGTGGGTTGATGTCTTACATCAAACACCACCTCCCACAGTATTCTTTCGTTTGGAGTTAATTTTCAAATTCTAGAGCGACCATCTAACACTCAGGGTAAAATCTGGCACCACTGAAAATACTTACTAGTTTTTCTCCTAGAGGTGCCATTAATAAAACATAATACTGAACAAATTTTGTAGATTTGAAGAGCTTTCAGATTCAAAATTTTACATATAGTTTAGTGAGTATCACCATGAAAATAGAGAGTATACTGAAAAGGTGATGAAGGAAAGATGCAGTGTTGAAAGATAAATTCAGAACTCAAGTAATATGCCATATAGTATTACTGGATCAATTTAGGGTGATGCACAGCTGACTCTTTTTGCCACACACCTGAAAGCTGATTTTCTAGAGTGCTGAGCGGTCTGGAGAGCTACTTCCTGGTTTTCCATAGGAGTGAATGCACTGTGCTGGTAGACATTCGTGTTCAGAACAGGCATGCTCCCTCACTCAGCAAGTTGTGGGTTTTCAGCATGTGAATATTGCCTGTGTCGTCTTCTCTAATTTTTGACTTACTGTTTGTTTTTCTTCTTCTTCTTTCCCAGCAGTCAGTCGTTAAGGACAAGTCCCAGGATTTCAGACTGGGCTCAGAGTCTGTGACACAGTAAGCAACTTCTCCTCCTAAATAATTTGCAGTGATAAATAGTTGGGTATTTTTTTTCCTGGACAGTTTCTCCATTTCCCTTTTCATAACATCACACTATAAGTTAAATTTCAGATAATTGATTTTTAAGAGAGTTTAGCTAGTTTAAGGAGAATATTTTAATGCATGAAGTGTGTGTATTACAAAGTTACAAGAAATAATATTAAATAAAATAAAAATTTCACACTAAGTTTTTGCTTTTGTGGACCCATTTTATCATTTATTTTTCTTTGAGTAACAGTTTGAAATAACATTAACAGAAAACAAGTAGATGATGTAAAAAAAAAAAAAATGAAATGCCTATTTTTAGGCATTAAAGAAAAAAAGCTAATAACCAGAACATTATCAGTATATATTTTCTGGAAATGCCCAATGTGTTGGAGCAATTTATTTTGAGATATTTATTTTAAAAGATCTCTAGGAAGATTTTGTGTTTTTATTTGGTACTTGCTCTGTCACTTAATACATAAATCGAAAATTCCTCTTCTTCCTCAAAAAAAATTACATCAAATACCTTCCCAAAGTATTTCTCCATTTTTCTCATTCAGATCATTTTGTATCTAATTTTAAGCCCAAACTTGGTATTCACACATCACTAGCAAACTGTCACTTGAGTGTGAAGGCCTTGAGCAGCCTCGGTGTCTGTCATGCCCGTTATCCCACCACCATCACCCCACACACATGAGTGCATGCTAACACACACGTGCACACAGATAAGCCTGCTGAATTTCCCACAGGAGAATATTTGTTCACGTTAACCCTGCTGTACCCTTTGACATTTTGAAGAATAATATGTCTCTTCCAGTTCAAAAATTCTGAGTTAGATGACAGTCTGATTTACAGGAATTATCAAATAAAATCATGCATTATTTCATTGCACAGATGAAAGGCGAACATAATTTTTTTTTTTTATGCTGAGGAAGATTTGCCCTGAGCTAACATCTGTGCCAGTCTTCCTCTATTTTGTATGTGGGTTGCCACCACGGCATGGCCACCAATGAGTGATGTAGGTCCGCGCCTGGGAACCAAACCCAGGCTGCTGAAGCAGACCGTACTGAACTTAATCACTAGGCCACGGGGCCAGCCCCATGAGACAGTCGTAATTTTTAAATGTATTTAAAAGAGTCACAGAATCATGACCTAGAAGAGACCTTAGAAATTCTTTCTATAGCTCCTCTGTTTTAGAGTCAAGAAAAGTAAGGGCAGAGGCCTTGTGCAGATTTCTCAGGGCACGTTATGTCAGCACTTGGACCAAGACCTAAGTCTCCCGATCCCAGACTACTGGGTGTTTGCTTGTTTGTTTATAAACTGTGTTCAGTGTTATCAGCCTCCTTGGTAAGATACCATTTTGTTGTAAGTTTAAAAATCTTTCTTTTTGAGCGATAAAAATATCCTGAGGATTATATAACTGTATATAGCGTTGTGTCACTTCAGAGCACTGTCACTCACGTTACCACGTTTGAGTCTCGCCATTTCCCTGGGAGAGATGCGAACCTTTAACGTGTAGAGAAACGAGAGCCCAGGGGCTGTGATTTGTCTCGAGTTACTGCTGGTAGTGAGTGAGACCCAGTCCAGGACACCAGTCCTGTCTTCCCTGATCTACCGTCCTGTCCATGCTGTCCCTCGGCCTGTCATAAGGTGCAACCACACATCCCAGGTTTCTGTTTTTTTCTTTTTGTTTTACCTGCCAAGTATGTTTTCAGTTCCTGAACAGTTGAAATTTTACATAATAGTTGATAATGCAATCACTCACCCTAAGGAGTTTGTACTCAGTGACAGATTACACAAGTAAAAAGATAGATTGGAACAGTGAGGACAAACTTTCAACAACCAAAAAATGACCATATTTAATACATTATGGGAACAGTGCTCTCGGTGTCTTTGAACAGGTTTTATAAAAATGTTTGGAACTTTTTACCTGGTATGTGAATGAAAAACTCTGAAGTCACTCTGACTCCACTGGATGCCTGTTTTCAGGTGATCCAGAGATCCACGCCATGCTCTCCAGATTCAAGTTCAAAGAAGCCCGCCAAAGCATCCCAGCTCCTAAAGGCTGTCAGGGTAGCTTGGCTTCTCCTTATGACACAGAACACGTAAGAAGCTTCTGAAAATAAATTTTCATGAGAAGTTCAGATATATCTAAATGCTCAGGCTTATCTAAAGCCTTGGGCTTTCCCTATATGCATAATTTCTTAGAAGTAAGGATGAATTAAGATACATTTCTCATGACTTTAAAGCTGTAGGCAAGTTGAAGGTGGAAATACTATAACCCAGTATGTACAAACAAGTCATGTCTTTATTTCTTTTATTGACCTGAGTGAGTCCATTGTACCCAAGTAAGTGGACAGAGGCTGATTTGTTTTGTTTCTTTGCAGCCTTGCCATTCAGTTGCAACACCTGCCTAATAGCTGGTTGACCAAAATTGTAAATGAGCCACATAGGACTGCCTCCTACCACTTTCCACTTGACTTTCTTGTCTTGTTTGTACTTTTTTTTTAGAAATGTCAGTCACTTCTGTGCAGACAGTGTATACACATTTTAGTGAAGCTACACTCTCTTTTTAAGATTATCAAGAAGAAACTTCTTTGGGTTAATTTAACGAAGGCATTTTCCTGACAGTGTTAAACGTGCACCTTTTGTACCTCATGTCCCTGTGATGTTATTATCTGCTGCCCAAATCAGAGTCTGTAATGAAGCTAGTTCCCTAGTTACTAATATATTCTGTCTTGAGTTTGTTGGATTTTTTAAAAAACATAGAATGCTGTATTTCATTAACAACTTTGGTCAGAGAGAAGTTAATACAGCTGCAATCATATTAAACTCCTTTATCTATAAACACTAAAATGTGAACTGAATGAATGAATGAAATCTCTCCTTAATATAGTGCAGCTATGAAAGTTAATTCCAACTATCCTTTCACTCCTCCACTCTATATATTTTTCCATCTTTATAATAATTATATTGCAGATTCCTTCAATTTCTTCTTCTCTTCATGAGAAGGACATAGTTTACCTTTTTTCCCTAAAATACCCTATTACTTGCAACTATTTTTTTAAGTTTTTACTTTTATTATCCATTTTCCAGTCTTTTTCTCACTGCCCCCGCCCCCACCCTCTCATTTCTGAAATCAAAACTATCCATTATCAGGGGTGTGACATCACAGTGTTCTTTATATATTCTAAATATGTTCTTTATCAGATACATGATTTGCAGGTATTTCCTCCCAGTCTCTGTTTTGCCTTTTCATTCTCTTTCTTAACAGTGGCTTTCGAAGAGCAAACTTTTAAAAATTTTGATAGAGTCCAATTTACCAATTTTTTTCTTTTATAAACTATGCTTTAGTATAGTATCTAAGAAATCTCTGCCCAAAGTCACAAAGGTATTCTCCTATGTTTTCTTGTGAAAGTTTTATAATTTCATGTTCTATATTTATCTAGGATCTGTTCTGTGTTAATTTTTGTATATAGTATGAGGTTTGGATCAGAGGGTTTGGTTTGGTTTGTTTGGTTTGCATTTGGATATCCAGTTGTTCCAGCACCATTTGTTGAAAAAAAAGTCCTGGCTCAACTGAAAGGCCTTTGCCTCTTTATTGAAAATCAATTGTCAGTATGTGTGTGGGTCTGTTTCTGGACTCTCTACTCTGATCCATTGAACTGCTCCTCTGTCATTATACCACTAACACACTGCCTTGATTACTGTAGTTTTATAATATGTCTTGGAATCAGGTATTACTGGTCCTCCAACTTTGTCATTTTTTAAAGTTGGTTTAGCTGTTCCAACTCCTTTTTATATGTCCACATGATTTTTAGAATAAGCTTGTCAATTTCTGCAACAAAGCCTGCTGGAATTCCAAATAGTATTCCCTTGAATCCACAAATCAGTTTGGGGAGAATTGACGTGTTAACAATGTTCAGTCATCTGACTCATTAACCTGATGTATTTCTCCATTTATTTAGGTCTTCTTTAATTTCTCTCAACACAGTTTTTTAGTTTTCAGTGTATAACTCTTGCACATATTTGGCTGATTTATTCTTGCATATTTCCTATGTAAGTAGTATTGTTTTTCAATTTCAAATTACAATTGTTTGTTGCTAATTTATAGACATACTACTGGTTGTTGTATGTTGACCTTGTATCATGCCACCTTACTAGACTCTCTTGTTAGTTTTAATAGCTTTTTGGTAGATTTCACCAGATTTTCTACATAGACAGTCATGCAAATAAAAAGCAGTTTAATTTCTTCCTTCCCAATTTTGGATCCTTTTTATTTCTTTTCTTTTTTTTTTTTTTTTTTGCTTTATTGCACTGGCTGGAACCCCCAGTACAATGTTGAATAGAAATGAGAGTAGATCTTCTTATCTTTTCCTGATCTTATGAGAAATGAGTGAGAAAGCATTCAGTCTTTCACTATTAAGTATGATAGTATAAGTTTTTTTTATAAATGCCCTTTATCAGGTAGTTTCCTTCATTTCCTAGTTTGCTGAGAATTTGTATCAGGAATGGATGTTGGATTTTTGTCAAATGCTTTTTCTGCATCTATTAAGATAATCATATGATTTTTCTTTTTTAATTTGTTAATAGGTAAATTACATTGATTTTCAAATGTTAAACCAACCTTTAATTCTTAGGGTAAACCCCATTTATCCTTTTTATAAATTGGTGCACTGGATTTGCTAAAATTTTATTTAGGAATTTTTTTATTTTGTTCATGCGGCAGATGGGTCTATAGTTTTCTTTTCTTGTAATGTCTTAGTCTGGTTTTGGTACCAGGGTAAGCTGGCCTCATGAAATGAGTTGGGGAGAATTCCCACCTTTTCAGTTTTCTGGAAGAGTTTGTGTAGATTTGGTGTTACTTCTTCCTTTTGTAATTTGTCTTTCTCTGTTGATATTCTGTATTTGGTGAGACATTTTTCTCACAATTTCCATTAGTTCTTTGCACATATTTACAATGGTGAATTTCA